CAGAATGTAATTTGAATACAATTTAATAGGTAAACATTGTCACACGTTTTTGAAATCATTCCTATATTGAAATTGAACTATGATATAATTTCTTCAGGCAATAAAAAATGTACTGTGAATGAAATTAGAACTGCACACTTCTTGTTGAGTGGATTTTTTTAAAAAAAGATTTTGACCATCTTTCCCAGGTTTAATACAAATATCACATTAATCTCATCTCAACATTTTCTCTAAGTCAGTAAGTACAATGTAGGTTGGGAATGTTCAGTTTGACTCATTAGAAATACTCACAGAGATCACATAAATACTGCACCAGACTTAAGCATTACTTACACAATATTTTACAATCTTCATCTCCACAAATATAAGCATACAGAAAGTAATAAATGCAAGTAAAGTCGTAAAATGATTTTGACTGCCGAATCAAAAGAGATAATGTTGTCTTAAAACAAAAACAAAAAAATGATTTGCCGGGATCAGAGGGATGTTGAAGCTTCTTACCATGTTCAGTCAAAGATAACTTTTTCAGAAAAATAACAGGTCTTTTGACCAGGCCTGATTAACATGGCAAACATTAAAGAGAAAATACTTGGACTGAACTGATATTGGAGGAGACTTGGACACTGGCTCCACTCTGATTTAATTATTAAAGTTTATAGAACAGAACCACAAAAATCATCTACAGATTTCTGATAACATTTGAGTACTATGCATTGCCTAACAATAATGACTCAGCATTATAACAAAACAAGAAGGTACCTAATTAATGGACGGTTATTTTACACAAGCTCTTAAAAACCACAACTTATTTGTTGAAGCTGATGCAGAAAAGAAACTTTAAGTTCAACATGTGTCATTGAAATTCCTGCCCAACAGAATTAAGTTTTCAGACAATGTCAAATATCACATGAAAATCTAACCAAATTACAATAAAAATAACAACATATAAACAACCATAATTGAAAGAGAAAGTAATAAAGATTATAAACCAAGCAAATTGTGCCAGCAATAAAAACTTTCTAAACAAAAAATCCAAACAGAATTTACAACAAATGACTACAGGAGAGTTTGAACACATGAAACATTGCAAGGTGTGTCAAATCTCAACAAAAACACAACCATTCCTTTAAAAACTTATCTTTACTGCCATCAAACTTTTAAAACAAATTTTTAAAATTTAGTAATACTCTACAGTACACTAGTAGAAGAGTTGATGTTTATGTTTCTCACCAGTGTTGCACATACAGGTAAAACATAGTAATGCAATTTTCCAAAGCACACGACATACTCCTTTTAAAATTTGAATGGACTTTGAACCATTTGAACACTTTCGGGTGATCAGAAAATCAGACAACCCATATATATCACAAATAATGGAATTCTAAAAGATTGACAAATATAACTAATCAGCAATCATAATTACAAAATTCAAATTCACAAAACCATGTCCTAATACAAGCCAAGCCTGACACACCAGCTGTCAGATCTTTTAATTTTGTCAGTTTTGAACAGTTTGTGTGCCTAAAGAAGCAGCCCCTTCAGAAAAGAGTAAAAACTCAATAACCTTCATACAAAGTGATAGAATCAACAAGAGGAAAATTAGATTAATTATATTGTTATGTATACAATATCATACATAGAAAATATATGGACTATTAATCAAAGAAAGGTACATATAGTACAAGATTTTTCCACAATATTTACAATATGAGCAATGGCAAAGTAGCAAGATAATCAGACATTCATTCAGCTAATATGCAGTCTCCAATGCATTTGCCAAGGGCCAGACAGAAAACAATAAAAATTACAAATCTCCAAATTTACAATGAAATATAAACTGAAACAATACAATAGTAAGTCTTTTCTTTCTTTCTTCTTTATTAACTGAATAGCATTTACCAAGTCAAAAATATCTTGGCCCTGAAAGCCCAATTTTAACACACTCACAGTCATGGGAAGCAGTTCTAAAACCAGCAAACTTTTCTAGTTCAACAGATATTAAAAAGCAGGCTTTACCTTTGTGTGAAAGATGAGACAATTTTTTCTTTTTGTGTCAAACTGCAACAACAATCTGAGCAGAGGTTCTGATCAAACCCAGAAACTTTGAGCAAAATGTGGCATTACAAAACTAATCTTCATTGACCTATGTCAGCCCTAGATAAACATATTAACATTTCCAGCAAAGTAATAAACTAACCAGAAACCTTAGAAATGGTTAGCAAGCACCCTAAGGATATTTGAAGAGCCTAAGGGAAGCTATCACAAGGGTGTAGAGGTTCTAACAGTATTGCATATGCATTACTAGAAGCTTTTGAAATGATTGTAAGTCACACAAAGCACAGAAGTGATGAAAAGTTAATTTCAGGAGTTAAGAATTCAGTTAAGTATTAAAAATATATAAGCTATCTGGAAATGATAATTTGAACATATTTAAAGAATTAACAAAGACCAAGTAATAAATATCCACTAAAAAGCTACACAGGTACACAAACACTACCACTTTTGCATAATTTTATGGTACTTTTGTGTAAATGTCACAATTTATTTTCATTGCGATCTCCTTGCACTGGAAACATGAGCATGCGAGCAGAAAGAAATGCTAGTTCTGGTAAAGTGTCCAACACACGTACAGCTTCCGGACTCAGAGTAGGATCTCGATTTTTCTTCTCTAGGGTTGGTAAAGGAGTAGATCTTTTAGAGTTCGCTAGAAGCTGCTCAACCTGCAGTGGAGTTGAAGTCAGAACTGGATTTCCACTAGTAGTTGTTGTCGCAAGGGGTCCTGAGCTAGGATCTTTGCTTGCTGTAACAGAAAAAGAAAATCAGCATACATGATCTAACTGAGAAAATTAACATGCTCATAACTAAAAGAGAAATTATTGTATTATCATTTTTAGGGGCTAGGTGGGACCTTAACAACATTGAGTAAAATGAGAAAAGTTAGCATGATGAAAAACTGGCAAACGTCAAAGAAAAAAGTAAAACAGTCTTAAAAAAAAAAAAAAAAGGCATGTTAACCAAAAGCATTTTTGCTTTGTAAAATTTTGTTGCACAAGTGAATTTATGATGAATACAGAGCACAACAAAGATCTACATGATGGAGACCAAAAAGCACACATAAATACACATTCACATTATTTTAGCAGCCTGCAAAGCAATATGAAGTTCATGCCAACAGGATTTGTTTCACCTATCAGATTTAGCAACTATCTTTCTGTTAGCTATTTCATACTTGAAGTCCAGCAACAATTCACTCGAACGTAAAAATAAAAAGCAAAGAAAAAAAGGGAGGAAAAGCTTAAATTTCAGCCAACTGAAAATTAAATTATCAGAGATGTCCTATTGTATGATCAAAGACTCATCCAAGTGGGCAGCAAACATAAGAATAAGAATACAAGCCCAAAGGTACACGCAAAAAGTTGTGAGCAACTTACTGGGCAATCTCCGGCACACCACAGCAGCGTGGGGGGTAGACATTGTTTGGGAGGCCAGGTTATCAAAAGAGGCAAGGAGATCAAGATCCAGGAGTGAAGAATGAGTGGATGCTAGGGTTGGGAAAAGAAGCAAGGACAGGGAGAAGGAAGAGGAGACAGACAATGGTGCCATTAGAAAAACACAATAGCAAAGGAATATGTGATTGTTACGTGATGGGCTCCCATAAACCATGAAAAAGTGAATCCAAATTTCAACCTATTTTTGAATACAAGTACAGCCAAATCTAACAAGAAACCTTAGTCTATGTTTTTGGGGGGTGTAAACACACATACAAAGTCTTCTAACTCTATGTACATCGAAGTGATTAATTTACACTTATCTACAATGATGCTGCACCTTTTTATATTCAAGTTCAAAGAAAATTTAAATGTGAGTAGTCATGTTAAGAGCACAACAGTTTTCACACAGGAGACAGATGGAAAGCAAAATTGTTAAACAAAACTACTTACAGTCAAGAGGATTAGTAAGTCCACTGTCATTCCAGTCAAACTGTGCTGCAGGTACAACCTCCTGCAAGAGTTTAATAAAAATTTTAGCATTGTTGAAAATGATTTTAAAAGGATTACTTGTTCAAAATAATATCTTACGCCTTGATCAGAAGAGGACTTTACAGTTTCCACCACCTGAGGCTGAATTATTTCAGGTCTTGGAGGTGGTTCAGCTTGAGGTTGAATTTGTACTGCGCGAACTGGTTCAAGCGGACTAAACCCAAGATTTGCAGCAAAGCGAGGAACAACTGTATTCCACTTTGGACCAAAAAGCTGTAAAAGAAATTTTATGAAATTAAAAATTAGAATTTTAAGAAAACGGGATTTTAAGGTTTAGTAAATAGTATTGCACTTACAATGTTCCGCGAATCAATGTTAAGAGCACCAAGAAGACCTCTGTTGGAATGTGATCCTGGCCATTGAAAGGACAAGGAAGGAGTTGCCTCTAGGTCTCGTAAGCCTTGCCAGACTGAACTTTCTTCAACATCCAAAATAATTCCTGAAAGTGCACTTGATATACTTTCCATTTCACTGAAAGGGCAACTACCCTCAGGAAGTGGGAAATTTTCCTTCAACAATTCGTCTAGTCTTGATTTTATAGTTTTCAGGTCAAACAGAGAACTAAGAGTACAATCTGGTTCAATTTTAGGGGGAGCTGATTGAAATTCAGCAGTTTCAAAATCATCAAAGTCATCAAATTCTAAAGGTTCTTGAGAGGAAAAGGCATTTGGAACAGCAGATGCCTGTGCTGCCTGAGCAGCTTGTGCCCAAACATCAGAAACAGATTTTTCATTATCTTGCGCTTGTGCAAAATCTGCAAATTCTCCATCAGAGTTCGAATGAGTATCTTCATCTTCTGCTGAGCAAAGGTGAGTCTCTGGAGGAGAATTTGAGGTACATGTAATAGGAGGTGTTTCAAAAGGCATACCAAGACTATGAGGTATTTCATTTAATACTGATGGTGGTATGTTGATATCATCATTTTCTTTGGTTTCATCAGCCAACACCAGCGTAGGTCTTCTGGACGGAGAGTCAAACTGGGGTTCATCATTAAATTCATCAAAGCTCTGTGAACTAGAAGAAGGTTTGGCTGGTGAAATAGTTCCACTGAATTCCCCAAAATCATCTTCATCATCTTCATCACCATGATTATCACTATCATCATCATCCAGGCCAGGCATATCAGGGATTATCATTGCCCTAATAAAATCGTTCTCTTCAGGTTCCTCTTCTTTTGAATTTGACTCCCTAATAATTGCAGGAACCATTGTGTCATCATTGGTGTTAGCAGTGAGGTGATTTAATCTTTCTTCAACAATATTTTCTTCCGGTAAGACTTTCCTCTGTTCCATAGTCAATGAAGTTTCACCAGCATTCCACGCCTCGAATTCCTCAGAGCTTGAACTTGTATTGTTTATTAGAGTTGGAACAGAATCTAAGACAGCAACTTCAGTCTTATCAACTACAGGACTATGATCTGTATCTGGTTTTCCAATGGATTCTTCCGTCAAATTGTCTTTTGAGGAGATTCCAGGATTTTCTAATTCTGTTATACTGGAATTTACTTTAAAAAATTGTTCTCTTACGCCTGCTGTAACTTCATTATCACTATTAATTTGGTTCGTCTCAGAAATAATACAATTTGGCACCTCGCTATCCGAGTTTTGAACTTCAGTCGGCAAGAGATTAGGACTGCCATTTGGTTGAAGAGCTGTAACCTTAGAGGAGAGTTCATCCTCCATATCTACGACAGGCATAGGAGAAGCCCCACTGCTATTTTGACTTGCACTGCAGTTTCCTGAGTCAGTTACACCAGACAAAACAGAATCATGACTAGTATTATCAGAATTCTGAAGTATTTCTTCATCCCCCAAACCATTTACTTGAAATTTGGGAACTTTGTCTTCATTTAACATATTAAGAGCAACAACACCATTTTCAAATATTTCTGACTGAAGTTCTCTGGAAGAGGGCACTGTCCACGATGTGTCTGGTATCATCTTGGGTATTGAAGGCTCTAGAACTAAAATGAGGGATGCTTAGAAAACTCAAAGATGTTAAAAATAATATATTTAAGTGAAAAAAATCATTACCATTGTGTGATTCAAAATCAGCCATTGTAAAATCTCCAAAACCATCTTCTCCCTCATCTTCATCATTGTCATCATCTTCAACTGGGTCAAGTGGAGGAGGAGACGATGACACAATAGGTGGTATTATAGACATGGTTTAATCTGAAAGCAATTTTATAAAAATAATGACGATACAAGGCATTTAAATTTAGGTCAAACTAGGAAATACAATGGACAATTTCCATGGTTGTCATTACTATGTTAATAGGTTAGGTCTCCTTCATGACAGTCAAGACCATAGGGTGCGAAAAAGAAAACGTACGAGATATAACACAAAACATAGATTTACATAAAAAGGAGAGAATAGTTCATTAGAAAATATTCAACAACCCCCATTATTTGAGAGAAACCCTGAGCGTTTAGCAACCTTTAAAGTAACGTATGTTTTCTGGTTTTCTGTCAAGTGCAGACGACGTATCGCCGAAGACAGTTGAGAAAGAGTTAAGGCATACGTCCTTGACGAAGGGAATATACAAGACTAAGTAAGAAAAAATCCATAATGATCGTAGACGAACTAGAATTATTTTCATTGGAAAATAGAAATAGATTCTACCTGGGAACAGATCGATCACGAGCAGCCAAATCTTGTTTTTCTTGGGTGACCAGTGACCTAGACCTACACAGCGAGATTAGCTGCAACCTAAGATCCACTATAAGATACCACCATTTCAACAAAAATGTCCCATAACATAATAACAGTTTCTGTACACAAACTGGAAGAAAAACATAGCACAGATTTTCTTTGTAAAAAAAAATACGCAGCAGAAATGATTTTCAGGCCTCCAAGGTCCACCTTGGACACCTGTGCTGGAGGGGAGGGGGAGTTCGGACAACGTATGAGAAATCCACAGGGCGCGCACGCAATGCGAGTCGGAGGATGAGAATTTTAATAGCCGCATTGGAACCGCGTCGTTGCCGCCGGGACCGCAGGCAACCCATCGTACACACACGTATGTATGGAAGCATACTTTGAAAGAAGTGACGCGTCTTTGTGTGAGTTACTCAAAAAGAGGCACATTCAAGCAGCAGTTTGAATACTAAGATAGTAACACTGTACAGTACGTTGGATAGCGAAAATTTCAGACCAAACCAGGAATCTGCTCGGCAAATTTGTTGATAAGTAAAAACATCTAAAAGACCGAACCGGAGGTGTCTGGGACATAAACAGAAATGTGTGGTGTTGCGAAGTTTGGTGAAATAAACACATGGCTATGCGCCTATTTATACGTGTGTTTTGATTTTCATATTTACACTTGCTTTTAATTTGTATAACCCTTCGAAAGGACTGGAACGCTCTAGGTGCACGAATGGGTGCATCTTTTAATGCGCTCCAGTTCTACGGGATTGCACTCGCGAGCGAGGGCCGGCCGGACGCATGGGCCATGGGCGAATGAAGTAGACAAACCCGCAACACTGGAGCGCATTCAGGGCGGGTTTGCCTATCGTCGCTGACCGACAGTGCTATACGGCCCAGATCGGATAGGCAACCCACACGCCCGCCCGCATCCGGTACAGTATCACTACCAAAGTGTCCAAACCATCCCTTCGGGGGGAACCAAGCAGGATGCCGTCAGAAGGAATGGGGTGCGACAACATAGAAGGCGAAGCCCGGCGTCGGCTCGAGCTCGTGCGACAAAGACGACAGAGATATCCGCCACCGCGCCAGTGATAAAGACGAAACTGTCTACTCGAGTGTGTGAAAAGCATCGCCTTGTACGAATTGTAACGAGTTGGCAGGAAAAGGGGGGGGGGTCTTGGAAAGAAGGAGAGGGGGAAGGTGCAGGCAGCTATGCAGACAGCTTCTGCAGTCAACAGGCGAGAACAATGCAGGCCGAGCGTGCACGCAGGTGCAGTGGCAGAGCTGCGGCCATAGGCTCGCCCTTGAAGGCGTGCGGGTCCGTCCTTGAACGGCTAGAGCTGTATCGGCCCGTATGCTCCCGGCTCGGTCCGTGACTGCCGCAAATACGTGCTGCTCAGCGCCCTGCCGCGTCCCATCAGATCGGGTCGGGACGGGTTGGGTGCCGCCACCGAAAATTGGTTTAGCTGTAGCCTGGTTGCCTACTCGTTCAAGCAGTCGGGGTCGGAGTCGCGCAGGCACCCC